CGGGCTACCGCTCATTTTGAATCGTGCTCCCGCTGCAGCGCTGGCCTCATTTCCGTCATTATTTCCAGTGCCGTGCCACGGCATGGTTCTCGGTCCTTCCAAATAGGCCCTCAAATCTAGAAAATGGCCTCCCGAAACAAACCATCGGAAGTGATTCCACATTCGGTGTCGATTCTTTGTTATTTTTGGCCTCAGAAGCCCCCCCCCACTTTGGGGCGTCGCCACGCCATGCTATGTCATGCTACGCGGTGATCTTCAACATCGAGCTATGCCGTGTAATGCTATGTGCGAATAGAGATGGGATCTACGCCATGGTAAGGGATGGGAGGGATGGGAAGGACGTCAGATATGACGCGAGCGCACCTAGTTCGCCTTATCCCCTCCCTCCCCTCCTCCGTCCTCATTCCTCCCTCCCCCTACTCCATCCCCTCCTCCCTTTTTTTCTTGGGAGGAGATCGTGGGGTGGTGGGGCAGGGTTCGCGTGTGGCCTCTCAGCATGGTGCCTCTGCCCGCAGTCGGTCTCTACCAAGCCGTGCACGCGTGCGCAAAGATGCTTACAGGGCGCGGCAGGGCGTCGGCCCCACTGGACGGCGTCTCTTGCTGCTTCCAGCGGTTCTGCTCGAGCTACGGTGCTGGGTTCGCCCAGAGCCCTTCGCGTGGATCCTCCGCGTGGGGACGACCAGGAAGGGAGCGGAGCCTTGTCTGGAGAACGCTGGACTTTGATCAGGGTGGCTGCGTCCTCAGACCTTTCCTCCCCTCTGATGTTTGGCGCGTGAGGCGTAACTGTCTGGACATCTGACCCGTTACGGTCGAGTGCGCACGGCTGTTGTGTCCTCCTCCTCCTCCTCCTCCTCTTGGTCCTTCTCCTCCTCCTCCTCCTCCTCCTCCTCCTCCTCCTCCTCTTCTCTCCCGCCTTCTCCTCCCTCCTCCTCCCCCCTCCTCCTCCTTCCCCACCCCTCTGCCCGATCCCTGATCTCCCCCTCCTCCCCTCCTCCTCGTCCCGCGCCCGCCGGGCCCGCTGAGAGAGTTAGAAGGCCCGAGCCAGCCACCCGGTTGCCGCGACGCGGCGGGGGCGCTCCTTCTTTGGGGGAGACGCCGGCTTAGCAGGCGTGGGATGGAATGGACCGCATCGCGGTGCGATACGAAACGACGCGAAGTAGGAGGGCTTAGCTCGGTTCGACGAAACCTGATCCTTGGGCCAATGCCCAGCCCTGAAATTTGCAAGCTATCTCCTGCGGGTGACCGTCAACGGCAGCGAGGCAGGGGTCAGCCCACGGCTTGCGAGGCTGCCCGTGCGTCGTGGAAACATAGCGGCTCGATGTTTTGTGCCCACTTTCGGCATCTGGGGGCCCTCGCCGGGCTCTGGGACCGTCGAGAGACGGCCCGGGACGAAACACCAGTCTCAGGGAGGGGTTCCAAACCTCCGGTGGTCCACGTTGTGAAACAAATCATGGCGTCGGAATTCTAGGGGGGGGGGAGGGAGGAGGAGGGAGGGGAACGATGAGGAGGAGGAGGCGGGAGGAGGAGGGCCAGAGGAGGGAAGAGTACGAGGAGGAGGAGGGGGAGGAGGCGGAGGAGGAGGAGGAGGAGGAGGAGGAGGAGGAGGAGGAGGAGGATTAGAAGATGATGACGGGAAGGATGATGATGATGATGATGATGATGATGATGATGATGATGATGATGATGATGATGATGATGATGATGATGATGATGATGATGATTATGGTGATGATGGTGATGATGATGAGGAGGAGGAGGCGGACCATGTGAATGTTGTGGATGATGCTGGTGATGGTGATGGTGATGGTGATGGTGATGGTGATGATGATGATGATGATGATGATGATGATGATGATGGTTCTGATTCTGATGATGATGATGATGATGATGATGATGATGATGATGATGATGATGATGATGATTACGGTAGTGACGATTACGACAATGATGACGATGATGGTACTGATAAAGATGGTGATGATCAAGAATATGCTGATGACGATGATGATGCTCTTGATGGTGACAATGCTGATGATGCTGATGATGCTGATGATGATGCTGCTGATGGTACAGGATGCTGCTGCTGATGATGATGACGATGATGCTGCTGCTGCTGCTGCTGATGATGATGATGATGATGATCATGATGATATTGATGCTGATGCTACTGCCGAGCATGATGATGAGGATGAGGATGCTGTTGTTGATGATGATGATGATGATGATGATGATGATGATGATGATGATGATGATGATGATGATGATGATGATGATGGTGATGACGCCGTCTTCCTTGGGCAGCCGAGCCAGTTTTGCGTGCTGACGATTCGGAGGAGGGAAGGGGATGAGGAGGTGGCGGACGATGGGGAAGGGCTTTAGCAGAATGGCCCCCCTGGCTTTAAAGGGGTCTTGGGTGGCCCTGCAGACTCTGACCGGGCTCACGAGACCCCTGGAGGCTCCGTGTGCTCACAACGGGTGGCCTGCCCGGCTTCCAGCGCCCGGGCCCTCACGGATCGACCTCGTGACCGGACAGC